TCTCTCTCTCTCTCTCTCTCTCTCTCTCTCTCCGCTCACAGACTCACTTTTGTACTCACTCGACATTGACATTACCGCACCGATAGGCGCACTGTATATGAACAGCAGTAGCACTGGTATGCGCACAGGGGTCTCATCCCATGTCAAAATACTATTATAAATTCCAACACATACACAAAATATACATTACATAACATTCAGTATTACCGTAAATTGTTTTTAGCAATAGTATTAGACTGGACAGTTGTTTTGCATTTAATTATGATAATTACAACCCCATTGTCAATGTATAGTATTTTGCATAATATCAATAACACCTTGAACATAGTTTTCCCAATGAATATTGCTAAATAACTATAATAATATATGGTGAATTGAAATAAATATATAATTTAACATATTATTATTAATTTTTAATATTTAAACAATGCGTGTAATTACAATTTAAAAGGTTAGCATTTTGTTTGGTTTATAATGTATATGGAAATTTTTTGTACCATACGGTCGTGTTTGCTCATCACTACCATAACCTCCTGTCCCCCACATCTTTATTCCTACATTTCTATCACTATCTCAAACAGATAGCGTGTATAACAAATGGTGGGGAACTGGTAGGCGATCATCGAGAAAGAGAGAGAGAGAGAGAGAGAGAGTGCAATTTGGGCCAAACGCCAGGAAAATAATTTTTATCATCAAAAATCATGTGTAAAATCAAGACTCTAATATACATGTGTGTAAATCACACGTTGTTTATTAATTAGTGTCACAATTTAATCATGGTAAATTTTCTCACAATTTATATTTAGCTGGTTATTATAAATTTGAGTGGCAAATTCTGTTTAAATACATACGACATACAAACACAATGGGTTGTCCACAAAAACGGATGTGACTGTAATATTCATATCAAACTTACATTCATGTCAAATGTCTATCACGGATGAGATGTGTTGGGAGATGTGCACGTGTTAGCACACAATAAGACATCTCTCTCTCTCTCTCTCTCTCTCTCTCTCTAAGTGATCTCAAAGGCTTTTATACAGAGGATTATATAAACTCTCTCTCTCTCTCTCTCTCTCGTTGTCATTTGACATCCGTTTATCCTAATACACACATTACTAAAGAGCCACCCGGAAAGTCACCTAGATTTTGACACTTACTTGTCACAGACCTTGCTCATAGTATTATTCCTATCAAACAAATATGGTACAAATTAAATGTCACAAATTTTATGTACAGTATGTACAATATGTGTTGAGACAACTGATCCGAAATTCACACATACAGTACGTATGTATGGTCTCCGATGACCGTTCAATTTCCGTGACATTTACAGCCACCTGTGCCCACACATACACTCACTCACACCCACTCCAACTCACTCGCACTTAAACATTTGCATCTGTACTGAAACACATGCATTTTACCAAGTATTTTATGGGTATTGAGAATTTTTTACACACATTCATTTATTTATATGCGGTTTTGTTGAGATGTTTTTAACACCACTTTTAAACCGCTAATTAACGATGGTACTTTTTATTCTCGGTCGTTGTCTGTATACATGTGCTGTAAAAAGGCAATTGAACTCCTAGTTTATGATCCCTGTGCTCTCTCCTCCTGGTGCTCTCTCTCTCTCTCTCTCTCTCTCTCTCGTTCACTCACTCCCACTCTAAATACGTTATACAATAAATATTTACAATTACGGCAAATATAGATATGTCTATATTATATATACAAAAATATAATTGTAAAATATTTCCCAAAATATTACTCGAAAAATTACACATGGTAAAAATTGTTCCCAATATACAAGCGACATCCAAAATCACAACCCTGTGCGCTTTCTGAGGCGCATGATGATTTATTGCCAACCATATAAATTATCCCGGGCATATTTATTATATAAACTGATATATAAATTATACAATGGCATATGCAAAATGGCTTAGCTCTCTCTCTCTCTCTCTCTCTCTCTCTCATAATTAATTAAATTCGTT